ACTTTCGCCAGCTGCTACTATTTCCTAGTACGACAATTTATTCCCTTATGTAACGCATACGAACGAAAAGCGACGTTGTTTATAGGAAGACAGGTTGATGTAAAGCCTAACACTGCCATTGTGGCTTAATGTCTGCAGCTGTTTGTGTCTTGTATTGATTAACGGCTCATTTAACGTCGTTACACGTGTAAACGTCTATTATTACTTGCTCGTCAAAACTATTTTGAAATATATTGATTTGAAAAATAATTGTCCAGAAATTTAGTCTTTAAACCTTATGCAAAAGAGTCTTTAAGTAAGTCGAATTTCAGTGTAATGTGAGGATGGGTTAGATGAGTGTTGAGTGTGGGGGCCGTCACCCCTCCCAGCCTCACCATCACTCTATATTACACTCACTCTCTCCTCGTGCTCACAGCTATGACACAATGTTGAGAGAACTGTTGTCAAATGTGACAGATGTGTCCCACTACTGCCTCAACCGTGGCTCAGTCAGCGGCATCTACTGCCTCACCAACCTTCCACTCGGCTCCCACTTTCAGTGCTCCGTCCTCATCAACGCAGACCAAATGCTCGTTAACCCAACCACTAAACCCTCTCTTTATGAATACAAACACCTAACTCGTCCTCGACTCAATTCCATTCCATCCAGCGGTCGACCCCACAGACGCATTCATAAATTTTAACATGCTTTTCGGTCAAAACGGGAATTTTCTCAAATATAAATTAATATTAGTATATTGTACATATATAGGCATAGGTTACGTTAGGTGTTTAGGTTCTGTTGGCGATTATTGGTATTTGTAGTACGTGGGTGAAGCATTTACAGCGTTGTGGTTCGAACAAAAGTCGTCAGTGAAGCACTTGTTCCGGAAGTGTTCGAACGTCATCAGTTGCGAGTCGTGTGTAAACCGTTTTTCATTTATAAACAGCTGGGGGTTTGGTCAGCCCGTCCTCCAAACAAAGACCCAAAAGTGATTCCATCCACCCGCCAAACCCCAGCTGTTTATAAATGAAAAACGGTTTACACACGACTCGCAACTGATGACGTTCGAACACTTCCGGAACAAGTGCTTCACTGACGACTTTTGTTCGAACCACAACGCTGTAAATGCTTCACCCACGTACTACAAATACCAATAATCGCCAACAGAACCTAAACACCTAACCTAACATATGCCTATATATGTACAATATACTAATATTAATTTATATTTGAGAAAATTCCCGTTTTGACCGAAAAGCATGTTAAAATTTATGAATGCGTCTGTGGGGTCGACCGCTGGATGGAATGGAATTGAGTCGAGGACGGGTTGCTCCCCACCACACCAGACACGACCACAATGTGGGCCAGGAACATGTCCTGCACCACACCAGACACGACCACAGTGTGGGCCAGGAACATGTCCTCCCCCACACCAGACACGACCACAGTGTGGGCCAGGAACATGTCCTCCCCCACACCAGACACGACCACAGTGTGGGCCAGGAACATGTCCTGCACCACACCAGACACGACCACAGTGTGGGCCAGGAACATGTCCTCCCCCACACCAGACACGGCCACAGTGTGGGCCAGGAACATGTCCTCCCCCACACCAGACACGACCACAGTGTGGGCCAGGAACATGTCCTCCCCCACACCAGACACGACCACAGTGTGGGCCAGGAACATGTCCTCCACCACACCAGACACGACCACAGTGTGGGCCAGGAACATGTCCTCCCCCACACCAGACACGACCACAGTTTGGGCCAGGAACATGTCCACCACACCAGACACGACCACAGTGTGGGCCAGGAACATATCTCCCCACCACAGAGCATAACACCCAGCAAATCTTCCCCACCACAATGCACAGAAGCTTAGAGAAGCGGCCCGCGGACCACTCCCAGCCAGGCACCAGGTGAGTGGCCCGGCGGCACTCACCACTTAGTGACCAACCATGTTGCACTCTTGCTTCTTCACTCACAGACGTAAAAACAAATTGTGATTCCCGATATACAGATGTACAGCGGTTCAAGTGTACAGTGGTTCTAGTGTACAGCTGTTCAACAGTACATGTGTACATTGGTTCAAGTATTCAGATGTACACCCGTCCCAGTGTAGAGCTCTTAGTTAGATGAGCTCCCTTAGTTCATCGTGGTCTTTTAGTTCAACAAAGGTGTATGTAATCACAGTTTTTATACTGATGGGTGATGCTACGTAGCCAGCTGGGAGCCACTATGTAGCCAGCTGGGAGCCACTATGTAGCCAGCTGGGAGCCACTATGTAGCCAGCTGGGAGCCACTATGTAGCCAGCTGGGATCCACTGTGTAGCCAGCTGGGATCCACTGTGTAGCCAGCTGGGGGCCACTATGCAGCCAGCTGGGAGCCACTATGCAGCCAGCTGGGGGCCACTATGCAGCCAGCTGGGGGCCACTATGTAGCCAGCTGGGAGCTACTATGTAGCCAGCTGGGAGCCACTACGTAGCCAGCTGGGAGCCACTATGCAGCCAGCTGGGAGCTACTATGTAGCCAGCTGGGAGCTACTATGTAGCCAGCTGGGAGCCACTATGCAACCAGCTGGGAGCCACTATGCAGCCAGCTGGGAGCCACTATGTAGCCAGCTGGGAGCCACTATGTAGCCAGCTGGGAGCCACTATGCAACCAGCTGGGAGCCACTATGCAGCCAGCTGGGAGCCACTATGCAGCCAGCTGGGAGCCACTATGCAGCCAGCTGGGAGCCACTATGCAGCCAGCTGGGAGCCACTATGCAGCCAGCTGGGAGCCACTATGCAGCCAGCTGGGAGCCACTATGCAGCCAGCTGGGAGCCACTACACAGCCAGCTGGGAGCCACTATGCAGCCAGCTGGGAGCCACTACACAGCCAGCTGGGAGCCACTACACAGCCAGCTGGGAGCCACTACACAGCCAGCTGGGAGCCACTACACAGCCAGCTGGGAGCCACTACACAGCCAGCTGGGAGCCACTACACAGCCAGCTGGGAGCCACACGAAGGACTCCCGGGTCAATGTATTGACGAAAATAAATGTTCTGTTTGACACCAAATATAAACCATAGCTTATTGGCGACTACTTTGTTGCAAGATGATCATTTAAGACATCAAATTTATCTGATAAAGGAATAATATATATCGAAGCGTGATTGTGTATTGGTGTTAAATGGCGGAACTGAGGGTCGTGGCTGGTCTCCGCACGTGGTTACAAAGTCCTTCGTCTGTGTCTCTCTTGTACTTCCAGTTTTCACGCCTCTTGCTTTAATGTGCTCTTACTTGGGGTTATAATCAGGTGTGTGGACGGGACCCAAGGTGCCCTAGCATGACCACAGCCGGCTCGGGGACCAGCTCCACCAGCCGGCTTCCTGTGCGCATGTTACGGCGCCTCCGTCACCCTCTGGTGTGGAGGAACTCTAGGCACGTTAGGGCAATACCTGGCATGAAGGTGCTTCTTGCGCGGTGGCTCTCCCTCCTGTGTGTTCTGCCACATATCTCTGCTTCCTGCAGAGATATGCAGGAAGCTCACACGGTGGCTGGAGGCCAGACGCTTGCGGCTAGCCTCACACGGTGGCTGGAGGCCAGACACTTGCGGCTAGCCTCACACGGTGGCTGGAGGCCAGACACTTGCGGCTAGCCTCACACGGTGGCTGGTGGCCAGACACTTGCGGCTAGCCTCACACGGTGGCTAGAGGCCAGACACTTGCGGCTAGCCTCACACGGTGGCTGGAGGCCAGACACTTGCGGCTAGCCTCACACGGTGGCTGGAGGCCAGACACTTGCGGCTAGCCTCACACGGTGGCTGGAGGCCAGACACTTGCGGCTAGCCTCACACGGTGGCTAGAGGCCAGACACTTGCGGCTAGCCTCACACGGTGGCTGGAGGCCAGACACTTGCGGCTAGCCTCACACGGTGGCTAGAGGCCAGACACTTGCGGCTAGCCTCACACGGTGGCTAGAGGCCAGACACTTGCGGCTAGCCTCGCCCAACTTTCCAAGATGACACACGGAGAGGGAGGGAAGGTTATGGGAGTGTCATAGGTTAGTCGGGGTCGGCCTGTGTCACACTTAAGAAATGTCGGCATCTATAGCGAAACATCGTAATGTTCATGAAATCTGAATGTATTTTCCTTTGTTTTTCTGCTACTTTGAAATATTAAATTTTCTGAGGGAGAAAGCTAGGAGGGAAGAGGGGAACAATGGAGGGTGGAAGAGTTGAGAGAGAGAGAGAGAGAGAGAGAGAGAGAGGGGGGGGGGGGGAAACTGGAAGAAACTATGGAAGGGTAAAGAGAGTTGAGGAAAGGGAGGAAGAGATGGGGAAGAGTAGTGAGGAGAGAGGGAAAGAGTGGAGATAAAGGCAGAGCGATAAAAGATATGGGAGACTGCATAATACTTTAATACAGAGCACGACGGATGAAGCATTTTTGCACGAGAATATAGCTAAAAATCTTATGTTTCACACAAATATAGATTAGGAAAGAAGAAGAGCTGCCCATACATGGAAACACAAGAGTCTTTACTTGCGCACTGCAGATGGTCCGCTGGCCAACACAACCCTACCATCATTCCATACGCTCTTATACAAGTTTGCCACAGAAATACTGGGTCATTCCCTCCCCCAGCCTGACCCCATCAGGCGTGTTAGCGGGGCTCTCGATTAAGTGCTGTGTGCAAAGAATTCATGTTTCAGGTACTTGGGTGCAAACCATAGTCACTTTGTATGTAAATACAATGAATGAAGTTGTCTGATGAGACATGTATTGTGGATCACTTAGTTCAACATTTCTGTCCGCACCGTCACAGCCGATCTGACCAAGACAGCGAGAGGCAGCGGCCCTCCATGGTCCCGGGTAGCTGAGGCAATGGTCCTGGGGGCCATCCATGACCACACGAGATATCACGCCGGAAATGTGTCTATATTACGAAGAAACTGATTCAAACTCAAGGGGAGAGTTTTCTTCTTAGAAGCAAGACTCTCAAAAAACTCTTTCTGGAAGTATTTAAAGTCTTACCTTAGTTGGAGTGGCGGCAAAGACCAGGTTGACCCGGTGAGGTGACGGTGGTGGTAGTTGCTGTAGGGGTGATGGTGGTACTTGTGGTAGACGATGGTGGTACTTGTGGTAGACACGATGGTGGTACTTGTGGTAGACACGATGGTGGTACTTGTGGTAGACACGATGGTGGTACTTGTGGTAGACACGATGGTGGTACTTGTGGTAGACACGATGGTGGTACTGGTGGTAGACACGATGGTGGTACTGGTGGTAGACACGATGGTGGTACTTGTGGTAGACACGATGGTGGTACTTGTGGTAGATACAATGATGGTACTTGTGGTACATACAATGGTGGTACTTGTGGTAGATACGATGGTGGTACTTGTGGTAGATACAATGGTGGTACGTGTAGTAGATACAATGGTGGTACGTGTAGTAGATACGATGGTGGTAGACACGATGGTGGTACTATTAGCTCGGAAGTGTTTGAGACTAGCAGCTTGAGAGGGTTTGTGTTAGGTTCAGTACATTACATGGATGGGTGATCATGACGTGGTAAAACACCTTCTGCTCACAAGACATTTACTGTCTCCCTCAAAACCAAGAAACCTGGTTTTCATATTTCATGAGCACCATACGTAGCGAGAGCCAGAGCAAGGGTTCTGTGATAGCTGGTGAACTGCATGCAGCAGTTGTGAGGTTCGGCGACTACACAGTGCCACCGGAAGGGAAGAATAACGAAAAGTACTGGATTTCGTAACCTATAAACCTGGACCATGGCTTCCAGCGGTGGTGGACGGGGGGGGGGGGGCAGGAGAGGCAGGAGGACCCCTCGGAGTGAGAGGCAGCAGGAGCCCTCGGAGTGAGAGGCAAGATAGCGTAAAAGGATATGGGTTAGTGATCATGGCGAGGCAGCAGTTGCGAGGGGCGGTAGTCTGGTAGAGGCAGCCCCAGGTGATAGAGAGGAACCCGGGGTACGGCAGCGCCTCCTCCTCATCCTCACTGTACACCCCCACGGAGCCTCCATCCTCAGACGACGTGAGGGAGTCCCGGGCAGCCCCGGATGGGGGCACGAAGGCCACGGCCACGCCGGAAGGACCACAGGAGGGCTGTCCGCTGCCATCTTCCTCAATCTCCACTCTCCACGACCCTCGGCGCCCGACAGCCATCGCTCGACCATCACTCATCAGCCAGCTAATATCAAGTGCAGGTCGCGGCAGGTCAGATCATTACAGGCAGCCACGGTGGTCTGTACAGGGTTAGACACGCTCGAACTGCAAGTGGCACTCCTCTCCACTGCAGGTGGTGGCACCCCCTACACTGCAGGTGGCTCTCCTCTCACTGCAGGTGGCACCCCTACACTGCAGGTGGCTCTCCTCTACACTGCAGGTGGCACCCCTCTACAGTGCCAGGGGAATGGAGGTGCCGCTGCTGGAGCGAGGATGATGAGAGGCAGCACACGCCCGCCGGCACTGGTTGCACGCCCAGTGCCACCAGCGAGGGGCAGGTGCACGAGGCAGCACTTGTGGGCGCCCGCTGTACCTGGGACGTGTTGAGAGTCAGTACAATACCAAGTGTGAGAAGCAGTAGCAGGCGCGACACGCACAGTGGGCGGCACGACACGGAGTGAGGTGCGGCGGACACGGCACAGGGGGGCAGGGCGCGGTAGACGTCCGGGTTGCGACAGGGAGCCACACGGCAGCAAAGGAGGCGCGGCAGACACACGCCTGCACGTTCAGCCACCCAGGCTACACTGCCTCCTTCCACGCCCGTGCCACGCACCCTACCCCGCGCACTTTCCCCGCCCTCACCTACCTCTCTCCGCCCTCACCCACCTCTCTTCCCACTGATGTAGCTCCACACACAGGTACAAGTACAGGTAGAGATGTACGTATGGGGTCGGGTACAGGTACAGATATATGGAGATATAAGTGCACTGTAACCCCCTGACACCATAGCCAACCTCCCGAGAACTATGTACACATGTTAACGCATCATCTCACAGCCCCAACACCCGCAGGTGTGTCCAGAGCGTTTCTCCAGCCTGCTCTCCTGTTAGGCTTAAGGCCTCTCAACCTCTGGAGGGTTGTTAAGCCAACCACAACAGCTTACTGATCAACCACCAAGTTTACTTCAGTAATCAACATAGTCCAGGACTAAAGTATGTTGTTGTTTTAGATTTAGTTACTCAGAACGAAATGTCCATGTAGCACGGACTATAGTGAGCCCGTAATTGAGTTCGGTTATTCGTGATAACCTTGTTACTGTGATATTTGGGTCAAAGTTTTAAATGGAGGTGGGGTTTCTTCCTTTTTCCCTGTTTCTTTTTAGCTTCTGTTTTAGCGCACTGATTTTAGTCTTGTTTTAATAACATTATCTTGGTGGCGGATGTAGATGCAGAATGCTCACTAGTGTGTCCCATTCTTCAACTGCTTTTCTGATCACTGTAGTCGCTGTGGAATTTGCATCTTATGCAGCTGCTGTCATTGGATTAATGTTGAGTTTGATGAGCACGGCTTCAGTTACTTCACATTCTAGTAAGTAATGCAATAGTGGCACCTCTGCATCTGTTCCATCTGGATATCAGGATATGTCTCCGGATATCTTTTTGTCAGGCTTGAAAGAGTAGTACCCAGTGGCTTGTTCGTACCATATCGCAGTGAATCTTCTTTCCGCTACTTTGGCTCTGTGGCAACTTTTGATAGTTGGGAGTATTTTCTTCTTGGTTTGCTCCTTAATCTGTGAAAAACTTGGAGGTATTTTAATCTGTACAACAGGTAGAGCAGTGGCAGTTTTTGCTAGCGAGTCTGCCTTTTCATTACCATCTATGCCAATGTGACTCGGTATCCAATTTAGGGTAATTTACAGCCCTAGATTGTGCTCTTCTTTTCCTATATGTAGGATTTCTGTGATGAGTTGTATATTATCTCTGTGCTGACTGGATAACAATGCCTGGAGCAAAGATTTAGAGTCGGTATGAATGATGACATCATGCAAATTATTCTAAATTGTATAGTTTATTGCCTCCTTCAGGACATGTAATTCTGTTTGCAATGTTGAGCACCCACTATTCATGCTCCAGTAAGCTTCATGGTTGGTAGTGTAAACTGCTGCCCCAGCAGAACCTCTTTCTTGATCAACTGATCCGTCTGTGAAGATGTGAGTGGTTGTCGGTCTTGAGATGGTTTCCATTTATTGTTCTGTGACTGCTTTGAGCTTCTGCGAGTCACATGCTGATTTTTTAACTGGTAATCCTTCAATGATTATCTTTAGACTCGATTCTTCCCATGGAGGAGGCTGCCGAAAGTGTTGATATGGTCTATATTTTCCCCTTTGGTTTTAATGGTCCATTTAAGTCCACTTTCCTCTAGAATCTTTACTAGATTATCCGTCCATGCACTTGTTCTATATTGATGGTTTCTGTGACGATTTGTGCATGTTATCTTTGATTGACAGTTCCAACAAGTTTTGCTGTTATGGCGGTTATTCTTTGTTTGATCCTGTTTTCTAAGGCTGGTAAGTTGGTTTCCATTCTTAGAATCTCTCGACGCGTCCATATAGGTGCTCCCAGCATTATACAGAGGGCATCATTTTGAGACGCTTCCAGTTTCTCCCATTGGTTATCACTGAGGGATATATGAGCAAGAGCAACATATTCAATGAGTGACGTAACTGCTTGAACGTCGTACATATTGAGTACTGGTAGAGATGCACCCTCTCTAAACTTGTCAGGGAGCGCAAAGCTGAGTTTCTGGCTTTAAAAAGCTGCTGAAAATATTCAATTTCTTGAATGAATTTCAACTGGCTGTCTATTATGACTCCAAGGTATTGACAAGAGGTAACCCACTCAATTTGTTGTCCTTGTATTGCGAGTTCTCATTTTAACGGTCATTGCTTTGGTTTTATTGCTGTTTATTTTGACTGCTATGCGTCCCGCTTCCCTGCTGATGATGTATAGGCATTTTTGTGCATGGATCCTGACGACTTTACCATTGATGATGACCACAAAGTCGTCTGCATAGTTAAGCAGTTTGGCTTCTGGTAACTTGAGCTTCATGAATTGTTCCATGAGACAATTGAAGAAAAGGGGGCTTAGTATTCCCCCCCCCCCTTCCCTGGGGTGTCCCATTTTCCATCATCTTTGAGGAGGATATTTTTCCTTGGAATTTGACTTTAGCTTCTCGATTAAGCAGGCTTCCTTTGCCAAAGGCAAGAGCGTGTCCTTTGATTTTCTTATCTACCAGGCAGCACAGTGTAGCTGGAGCATTGGCTACCTCGAAGGCTTTCTTTAGGTCTAAGTTAGTTTAGTTCATTTATTATGCACCCCATACCCATCTTGTGGGCGGTAGTGGAAAGGGTTACAGAGGCACATAATGGGCTCAGGGACTGAACCCATTGGTTGTGAATACTTGTATAGATGACTGTGTGTTGGAGGAGATGTGAGTGGAGATCCAGTCACGTCTTGGGTGTTGGTGTTTCTCTAAAAAAAAAAGGATTCCTGGTTTATCGTTGATTTGATCCAGGAGGGAGGTAAGGCATTCTGTGGTTCCAACACCTTTCATGTAAGTAAACATATTTTGATGCAGTGGATTGGCTTTCCAGTAAATTCAATTAAGAGCCATTCATTCCGCAGTTTTGACCAGACAGCTTGGTAATTAAATGAGTCTTGGATTTCCTGGGTGCAGACTAAAGATTGATTGATTGATGAAGATTAAGCCACCAAAGAGGTGGCAGGAGCATGAATAGTCCGTAACAAAATAATGTATTGTTGTTTAAGATTCACTACTTGGAACAAAATGAACAGTGGCACGGGCTACTGTTCATCATGTTACTGTAATGATGGTGAGCCCATAGTGGACTTACCTGGCACAGGAGCGGCGCTGTAACTGTAAATCTGGAAGGCTGTAGAGCACTAGCACTCCAGATGCCTGGAATAAAGTACACTGTCAGTGTATATATAGTATATTGTAGGTGTAGTGTATGTTGTTGACTCAACCAGGTCCCGGATTTGATTCCCGGGGTACGGCTGAGACTCATGTGCACGTACTCTTCCCCCGATGCTTCTGTTCACCCAGCAGTGAATAGGTTCCCATGAGTTTAAGTACTGTAATTCATATCAATTGCATTCTAGGGATGCATCCTAGAATGATGCAATCTACACCTCGCTGGTTCCATTCTGCAATTCCTTTCATATCTTTCGTTCCAGTATGTTGTAATTCTACTGTGCAAATTTGGGACCCGGCCTTCCAGTATTAATTCAGAGGGAAAATGCCTGCAGCATCTTGGGAACGAGTCCAACCTCGGAGTTCGAAGAGGTGTTTGACTGGCAACAATGTCCGAATCTGTGACATTTATTGTGTATCCCGTTGGTGTGCTTTTCATGTTACTGTAATGATAGTGTTGTGTATGTGTTACTGCCATATTTTGTAATCATGTAAAATAAAATTCTCCCTCTCTCCCTCTCTCTCTATATATATATATATGTCGTACCTAGTAGCCAGAACTCACTTCTCAGCCTACTATGCGAGGCCCGATTTGCCTAATAAGCCTAGTTTTACTGAATTAATATATTTTCTCTAATTTTTTTCTTATGAAATGATAAAGCTACCCATTTCATTATGTATGAGATCAATTTTTTTTATTAGAGTTAAAATTAACGTAGATATATGACCGAACCTAACCAACCCTACCTAACCTAACCTAACCTATCTTTATAGGTTAGGTTAGGTTAGGTAGCCGAAAACGTTAGGTTAGGTTAGGTTAGGTAGGTTAGGTAGTCGAAAAACAATTAATTCATGAAAACGTGGCTTATTAGGCAAATCGGGCCTTGCATAGTAGGCCTAGAAGTGCGTTCTGAGATGTTTATTCAGGTAAGGTATATACATACAAGTGATGTTACATTAATGGATTGATATATAGATAGAGCTAGTACATACAATGCCTAAAGCCACTATTACGCAATGCGTTTCGGGCAAGAAAAACATTAATATCTAGAACTTAATACTAATTGAGCATAAAGAATAAAAGATGTTGAGAACAAATACAAATAAAGATAAAAAAAAGGGGGAACATGACTGAAAAAGCAGCACAAATACAATAGGTTGACAAACAGTGTTTATTAAAAAAAAGAAAAAAAAAAAAAGAAAATAACAGACATGGGTTGACAATA